GACTAGCACTCACAGAAAGCTCAAGTTCAGGAGTTGAGTAAAAATAAACACCGGCTATAAATAAGCCGGTAAATTTCCTCAAGGCACAAGCGCGACAAGGAGAAGGTGCCACCGCACAAGTGCTCACTTGAAAAATTCTCGACGCGTAAAAATAACTTTGATAACCGCGCGAAGACGCCTGGCTCAGCGGAAAGGAATGGGCCCCGCGCCCCAGCCCGCTTCCCGCGCCGAGACCTGCGGGGCCCCCAACTGCGCGCGGCCGGGCGGGGCGGGGGGCGCGGGGGGCGGGGCGGGGCGGGGGGGGCGCGGGGGCGGACCCGGGCGGCGGGGGCGGGGCCGCGTGACTCACTGCTGGGCTGCGCCTTAAAAGGGCCAGCGCTTCCGGAGGCGGGAAGGGGCGGGCGGGAGGCCATGGTCAGGGGGCAAATGGCCCCAACCTCCGCCTTCTTCGCTGTCACTCTGAAGGGGGGCCCCCGTTCCACCCCGAGGCCGACCTCGCTGTCTGATCCAAACTTTCACCCCTCCCCCTTTTCTCCTCTCCTCCTTCCTCCTCCCCCTCTCTCCGCCTCCGTCCACCCCTCCTCCCTGCCCTGTCCCTCGCTTCCCCCTTCCTCTTCTCCTCCCCCTTCCTCTTCTCCTCCCCCTCCCCGCGTCTGTCCCCCCTCCATTCTCTCCCAGCCTTCACCCTCTCAGTTCGGGGCCGTTGTTTCAGCCATAAAATATGCTCAAGCATCTATTCCTTCTCCCCATCGCCACCTTTAAAAAAGTCTCACCCCTCACTGGTCAGCGCACTCCTTTTTCCCTTCATCCTTAAACTCCTCCAAAGCTCGGTCCACACGCACTAGCCCACTGATGTCTGGCCTGTGTCCCGCACTCTCCTCAACGTGTTCTTTTTTAAAACAAGGAGATCTTTATCATTTTAAACTTAAACAAGTCTCGAGAATATTACAACCCCCCCCCCAAACCCTTCGACCAGATTCGCCACTCTTGAACATTTTCTACATTCTTTCTCTCTCTCCATATATTTTTTCTAAACCATTTGCAAGTGAGTCGCAGACATCATGTCTCCCTATGCCTAAATACTTGGCTGTGTTTTTACTAAGGACAAGGACGTGAACGGCAGAGTTAGCAAAAGAAAGACTCTTTTAGGGATGCCCAGTGACTTCGGAGCTGCCCAGCCCGTGGCCTGGCAATGTTCATCGGGCTTGACCTTTCTGCCCCTTGGTCTCTGTCTCTCCGTCTCTCGGTCCCCTGATACTCCCCTTTCATGGGCTCCTTTCCTGGTTCCCCTTGGAGGTGGGTCTCACCAGGGTCCAGCTTTCTGTCTCATTTTGCAGACTATCCCTGGAGGGGCCCATGGACTCCCACGAGGTCAGCTGTCACCCATATTCAAGAGCTCCAAATCTTCAGCCTGGGCCCCCCCTCTAATCTACTTGAACGTCCACAGCTTTCCAGGAACTGATGTCTGAATCCCTCACAGTCCTCCCACTCAGCGTAGTAGACCCAGCAGGTCAAAGCGCTGCAGTCACTGCCCCTGTTCCGCCCCCTCCCCCACACGCCCTGCACAGGGCTCTCCAGGCCTCTGAAATCTGTGACCAGTTGCTAGTCACACACCCTGGCCTCCTTCTTCTGCCTTTCTGGCATCTCCCTCCTCCCTTCCTCCAAACTCCACTTCCCAGAGCCCCTCGCCTACCCATAGTCCCTGCTTGGCTTTGGAAGCTGTCTTTCATCAAGTCCCTGCCGTGATGGAGATCACTGCCCCCCAAGCTTCTTCCACCGGGTTCCCAAGGGGAATTCTTGGGTCCCTGAAAAGGTATTCAAATGTCAGGGGAGTGGTGGGAATTTTCTGGGAAGAGGCTTATAACTTAATTTTCCAGAAGAATCTGTGGCTTCTCCCCCCAAATAAAAGAAACCTGCTTGCAGAGGTTCAAATTCCTTATGGGATTCGAGACCATTTGCTCTGGGCTCAATCCAGCTTCCCCAATTCAGTTCCCGGTGCTTCCCAAACTTGGTCACAAGAATGACCCGAGGCACTGGGTAATAATTCAGATCCATCCCTTGGCCCCTCCCCTGTGGATTCTGATTCAGAAAGCCTGGTGGTGGTGGGTGGGGGTGGAGGGAGCCCCAGGAATCTATAGTTAGCAAGGAGGACCTTCTACTGGGGAAACACTGGGCTATGGTCAGCCAAGGGCCTTCCTGTCTCCATACCTTTGCATACAGTGTGGTTCTCTTGGAAATTTGCACCCACTCTCCCCTCCCGTGCCCCACCCCCCTGCCCCGGAACTGATAAATTCCCATTTATCCTTCAACGTCCAACACAAATGTCAGCACCTCAGGCAAAGTCTTCCCTGATCATGCTTGAGCTGGTGAGGTCAAGACAAAGCTGCTGTAACGAAGAGGCCCCAGATACACTGGTTTAACTGAGAGCTGTTTCAGCTTTCTGGAGACAGCCAGATGGAGGGGCCAGCAGGGAAACTGAGCTCCCCTGTCTCATCCTTCGTGTTAATGTTACGTTCCAGGGCATTCGACGCATCACTGGCTGCAGCGAGGTCCCTGCCAAGGCTGTCAGCCCAGAGAAGGGGAAGGGGAGCGTGCGCTGCCATGCCCCATGTTTGAAGGCCCTACCAGCCAGTGGCCCAAATGACTGGAGCTCACCTTAGCCAGAGTTTGGTCAAATCGCCCTGCCAGCTGCAGAGGAGGCCGGGAAATGTAGTTTTTAGCAGAGTGGGCCTTGTTGCCTGCTGTTTGCTCTCTGAGAGACCTGAAGCAAACATTTATTAGCACTTACTGTGTGCCAGGCACTAAGATGGCCACTGTCCTACATCACCTTTTCAAAATCTTCACAAATATTTAACCAACAGTAGGACAGCTAGGAAAGGGCTTAGGTGGAATCCAGACCCCCCCAGGCATGTTCCACTGAAGTCCTCACCCTTGGGTGACTTAGATTCTTTTCTTTTCTCTCTTTTTTTTTAAGATTTATTTATTTATTTATTTTTAAAGATTTTATTTATTTGACAGAGAGAGAGAGAGACAGCGAGAGAGGGAACACAAGCAGGGGGAGTGGGAGAGCGAGAAGCAGGCTTCCAGCAGAGCAGGGAGCCCGATGCGGGGCTCGATCCCAGGACTCTGGGATCATGACCTGAGCCGAAGGCAGACGCTTACCGACTGAGCCACCCAGGCGCCCCTAAGATTTATTTATTTATTTGACAGAGAGAGAGAGCACAAGCTGAGGAAGAGGGAGAAGCAGACTCCCCCCTCCCAGCCAGCAGGGAGCCCGACTTGGGGCCCGATCCCAGGACCCTGGGACCATGACCCGAGCTGAAGACAGACACTTAACCGACTGAGCCACCCAGGCACCCCTCTTTTTTTTTTTTTTAACAGATTTATTTATTTATGAGAGAAATAGAGTACATGCATCGGGGTGGGGGAGGGGCAGAGGGAGAGGCAGAGAAGCAGACTCCACAGAGCCCGACATGGGGCTCGAACTCACAACCCTGAGATCATGACCTGAGCCGAAACCAAGAGTCAGATGCTCAACCGACTGAGCCACCCAGGGGCCCCAATTTAAGATTATTTTCTTTGCATGTCTGCCTCTTTCCCCTGACCCTCATGAGTATATGCTTAATAAATGTTAGGCTAAGTGGTCAGAGTGGGATTTTTAAGTTAGCTCATGAAAATGACATAATATCACCTCATTGGCTATTTTTGTTTATTCCCCTATGTCCCCTGAGTGAGAATTAGCTCTCAAGCCCTATAAGAGGTCAGGCAGAGTTTGGACGCCGACCCTAGGGATGTGACATGGGATTAGATGAATCCCAGGACCCTTGCAATCCTAACATGCTATATTTCTCTGCCCCTCAATCGCGGTAACTGAGAGTGTATTCGTTCTTCCACTCAGCCAACCTGTTCTAAGTGCTTCCCTGTCTGGCTAGTGAGCACTTAGTTATGTCCTAAGGAGACCCCTGCAACATGCATCCTGGGAGGAAAAGATGGGTAGTAAACATGTCAACAAGAAAATAAACAACAACAACGCAGACAGAGATAAGAGCTAGGAAGAACATGGACTAGGACAAGATAAGAAGTGTGTGCCTGAGGATCAGGGAAGGCCTCTCTGAGCAGGTGACAATTCAGTAGAGACCTTTATGAGGGAAGGGACAGCTAGGAAGAGCTTTCCTCCAGGAGGGACCAAGCCCAGGGCTGGAGCGTCTGAGGTTCCCAAAAGCAGCCAGGGAGGCAGAGCAACTGGGGAGAGACAGACAAGTCAGGGCGGGAGGCACAGGGCTGCACAGCCAGGGTCTGGGACCTGTTCTAAGGGGCTGATAGGTCTCACTGTGCTATGAGCAATTCTACATAGATCATTGGACAATTATCCCAGCAGCTACCTAGAAGGTGGAAACGGGACACGTGATGGGAAGATCTTTGGCCAGTCCTCCAGCTTCAAGTGGGGTGATGGCAGTGGAGAAGAGAGGTGGGGTGTCTGTGTTCTGTAGGTGGCCCACAGGCCTTGCTAAGAGAGCTTCTGTCTAGGTAACCACTGTCTCTTCATCTTCTATGTATTAATACTTAGTCATTACACTTCCTGGAATAAAGGAATCACAACACTGGACCTCTGTGGTGATCAGCGTCCTACCCAGGTGCTCTAAGGCTGCATCTCATCTTTGACTTTGCAGATAATACTCATGGTTGAGCTCATCACATTGGCTTTAATCACTCATTGGGTAGTAATCACTAGAGATAATCCTGGACATGGGTCCTGCTTCCATCAAGCTCAATCCCATTGGAGAGACAGATGATGAACAAATAAATCTAAAATGACACCTGTGAGGAGAGGTACACAATGCCAGGAGGACACATGAGGGGGTCTCCTTAGGACATAACTAAGTGCTCACTAGCCGGACAGGGAAGCACTTAGCACAGGTTGGCCGAGTGGAAGAACGAATACACTCTCAGTTACCGCGATTGAGGGGCAGAGAAATATAGCATGTTAGAGGATTTGATAAAGGCATTCGAGAAACAACATTCCCAGACTCTTCCTGATTTGAGGGAGAGCTATGTCATTAAAAATGCATATTTAACATAGAGATGGTAAGTTTTATTTGAAGCCAATTGTTTATATGAATGATCCAAGTTTCTTTGAAATCTCCCTACTAGCCCCAAGTTAAGATAGCATATAAAATCAGTCTAGCATTTATAAGCACCCAGGGCACTGACATCCTTTGATAAGATTCCCGAATAATCCCACAAAAGGAGAGGAGGAATGTCCCAGACACCTATTCAGCTATGGTTTTATTCTTGTGAAAACTTCAAGGCAGTCCGAAGTTGGCCCCAGACTATTCAAAGTCGGTTCAAAGGAGAGCTTCGGTATCTCTAGATCCAGGGAACTTGCCTACTAAATTTTTCTTTATTAAAAAAAGAAAGTGGCTCATTAGGCTAGGGAGAATGAGTTACTCACTACAATATAGATGACACTCTCGGCATTATTTTTTTTTTCTTTTACTCTTAACTTGGAGCACCTAAAGGAAAGTAAGCCCAACTTCCCATCCAACCCTGCCCTGCTTTTTAAAAGAGTTCCCTGGGGAGAGATTGCTGCATTGAAAAACTCATGAAACGCCTGACAGAAAAATGTTTCTACAACCTGAAGCAATATGTGTGTAAAAGCAAAATGAAAACAAACAAAAAACTGGAGGGAGGGAAATGGTTAAACACATACCGCTTTAAAATTAAAATAATTTTCCCTCAATAAAAAAATAACTGGGACCTGACTTAAAAGAGAAGAAAAAAAAAAAAACAAGCAGAGTCAGGGCACAAGTATTAAGATTTTTTTCGATGGAGAAGAATGGGGGCAGGCAGGTGGGATCACTGCTCAATTTCGGATTTATCCCGAGGAAATAACTTGAATGAATAAGGTGAGTTATATATACACAGATGTTCCTTGTTTCATTATTTGTAAGATTTTAAAGAAGTTAGACTTGATTCTGGGGAGGATGGGAGCAGAGTGTATTGTGTGAGTCAAATGGTCCAAAGGCATTCAGAGTCCGTGAAGGTGTGGAGGATGCGTTAGGAGTAGGAGGATGGTAGGTAGGGTAGTGGTGAGTTGGTCTAGATAAAAGATAAGGAAGGCCTGACTAAGGCTGTAGCCTCAAGGTTAGAGAGGAGAGATTGGTCAGTGAGATATTTAAAGGATCCACTATATGTGCATAGGCAGAGGGAGGGAATGATTCTGGAATGATACTCAGTTTGGGTGGATAGTGGTGTAACCGAGGAGGATGGGGAGAACAGGTGAATGAGTGTGGTGTTTGTCTGTCTGTCTGATTGGGGGCTGGAGTGAAGAGTAGGCAGTTCTGGGGTATGCCAAGTTTGAACTATCCACAGAAAAGCCAGGGGAAGACGTCCAGGAGAAGGTGAGGGAAAATGTGGGTCTGGGCTGAGAGAGGAAGGTGGCTGGAGACAAAGAACAATAAATAAATGTTTCCCATAGGAAATGAAGGTCATCAGTGGCTTCCTCCTTTCTTTATCTTGGTCTTCATCCTGTTGGGTCTTTCAGAGTAGCCAATGCGGCTGACTCTCTTCTGAAAGGTCTTTCCTCCACGAGTCCGTGAACACGCATATTCTTCACTTTTCCTTACTTCCACACTTGTTTTTTTCCTTTTCATTTGAAAAGTTATTTGAAAGGAAATATTTCTCCCCAAGTAATCCAATTTTCCTGTAGGAAAAAAATCTTAGAAAATACAGATCATTGAAAAGAAAAATTCAAGTCACAAAGCATTTTGGTGTATATCCTTCCAATTCTTACCCTTCAAGCGCCACCTGCTAATTTTAGGCTGGATTTCCTCTCCATCACACACAGTCAGTGCACACTCTTCCAGTGATCATTTATCACAATTAAAACTGAATCATTATTTGCATCGATACTTCTCTTAAAAGCTGAGTAGTTTAATAAATGTTTTCCTATAAACGCACTTTTTACCCAAATGAGACTAATTGGTAGGTAATGCTTTATGGTGTATTTTCCTCGTGCATTAATGCATCATGAGCACTCTTCACATACTCATGCCAATTTGCAGGAGCCATTTAGATGCTACCTAGTTTTGAATTTAACTGTATAGCTGAGCCCAAATCTATCTCTATCCCTTACTGTTGGATATTTGAGGTATTTCCAGTTTTTCTCTAATCTACTGCTTTCAACATCTGTATACGGAAGTCTTCCCCTGTTTCTTTGATTATCTCCTAAAAATGGAATTGTTGGGTCCAAAAAATATGCCAAATGTTCAGCTTTTGATGCAGGTCCGCAAATTGTCTTCCAAAAAGCCTACCAATTTACACTTCTACTTCTTTGCTTTATTAAAACTTTTTTCCTATCACAAAAATAGTGCATATTCACTATAGACCGAATACAGATAAGCAAATAGAGAGATGTAAGGAGCCTAGAATCCCGGGATGCAACTTTGTAACCCCTCTTAGGCGAATCCGTCCTGTATTTGTCTAATAGATGCCCTCGGGAAGCTGACTTTGGCTGGAGGTACAACGTCACTATTACTGGCTGTGTGGCCTTAGGTGAGCTACTTATGTCCCCAGGCTTCTGTTACTCACCTGGAAACAAAAGATAGCAGTGGGAGCATGGCCAGGTGGTCATAAGGACATGACAAGCATCTAGCCCAGCGCCTGGCATGTTCTAAACTCTCAAGCCATGCTCCTCTAATTTTGTTTGCACCTTGCTTTCCTACCCTGCTTATACGTACAAACATCTTCCCTTTGTACCACGTGGACACTTCTAGCTCCCAATCTTTGACATAAACCTTGGGCCAGTAGCTCTAATTACAGATGGTCAACACCACCCCATGGTATTTTGTTGGTGTCAAGTTTTCATTTAGTTCCCAGCCAAACTAGTTCCAAGGTCCTCCTCCCACCTGCCTGTCCCCGACTTACCCACTGCCATCTGTCCTCCGTGGTGCCCAGGCAGAAACCACCAGAACATCCTCTTCCCCTCCCACAGTTTACTGGGTTTCGACTCTGTCATTCCACTATGCTGGGTATGACTGGAGTCAGAAAGAGCTGGGTTGAACTCGTGGCACTGTTGATCACATACTGTGTGACCACAAGCAGCTGATTCCCTCTTGGGAGCCTCAGCTTCTTCATCTGGAAGATGGGGTGATAGTCGACCTGATAGATAAAGTAAGATAGCAGGTGCTTAGCCTCTCCAAAGGGGGAGGAGCATCATTATCATCATTATCACCCTCTGATGTTCTCTGGCCTTCGCTATGGATCAGGTGTAGCACCAGCCCACTTACAGCCCTGATATGGCCTCCAAACCCACCCCCACCTTCAGCCTTTCTCAGGCTGAATTTCATTGTGCCTCCGGGATGACCTCTCCATGTTATGTGCGGAGTGTGTAACTCCGCTCAAGACTCTCCATGGCTCACAGTCATCAGCAGACTAAAGCCTGAATTGTCCTAGCATGGTTTCCACCATCCCGTGTCTGCTTCCAGCCTGGGCACTCCTCTGCCTGCACCCCACGCAGCCTGGCGTCCAGCTCTCCGTCTCTGCATCAACCTTCCGTCTGTCTGTCTTCTCACTTTCCCACCTCTCTGTGATGGCCCCACCGCTGGGACAACACCGTCCCCCAGCATCCCCAGCCTGGCTCAAACATGCCTCCTGGAATCGGTCTTCTCTGACCAGCTCCTGGAGCATTCTACTCCCCTGCCCCCAACCCCACACGTGGTGTGCCCTTCCCTGCACGACGTGGAGGGCGACACTGGGCCCTTCTTGACAGCAGATGCCCTTTTTGTTCACCTCTGCATCCACCACCCCTGCCTCACCCGAGCTCCCTCCACACACCCTCAATATTTGTTTGTTAATTGCACTGTTAATAAATAACATCCCTCTGGGATTTAGATGCACAAAAGTTTACCCACAGGCCAAAGGTTTTACAGAGATCATTTACCTGTCCTGTGACTTATTCTGAGATGAAAAGGACAAAGAATGGCCAAGACCACACCGCCCCCCAGGGGAGCTGATGTGTCCACAGACGCCCCGCACACGTGCTCTGTGACTCCCGCATGCAGTGACTGTCCTAGTGCGGGATTTCATGCTTGTGGGGTGAGCATGGAACATACATCACGTCTGTCTTTTGATCCTTGTGAGGCAAGAGAGCAGTCGTCAGGAGGCTTGCCCACTCGCCCTCTGGGGCAGGATAAGAGCCCATCTACAAAGGGCGGGCTGGGGCTCAGCCCTCCAGCCTTTCTCCCAGGGGCACGTAAGTTTCAAGTAAATCTGTTTCGTCCTGTTGAGAAAGATGATGCAATGCGTCTAGAAAGGAAGTGGGGAGTTGCCTACTACTACAAGCTAAGGAATGTCACGTCGCTGGAGTGTTCTTCACATTCCCAGAAATATGCCTTGGTTGAAAAGGAGGTGCGTGACTCAGTGTTGCCCTGGCTTTCGACAGCTTAACCGCGGAGCCCCAGCGGTGCTAACAAGGACAGGCTGGTGGAAAGCGCAGTTAGTGTGAGCTGCCAAGACCACGGGCGGCGTGTCCCCGCATCCGGGGGCTGCTGTGGCCCTGGGCGTGTGGGGCCGAACCCAGTAAACACAGTATAGTTGTCTCAAAGCTGCTGGAGTAAGGGGCCCTCCTCTGTCCACCTTGCATTCATTTAACTCCAAACTATCTCGATGTGCCTGACCAAACTCCCTGAATTCGGTCATGGTTCTGACTGTTTGCTTTGCAGAATTGGGGGTGTGTGCCAGGTGCGTGTGTGGGGGCTGTCTATCCTTAGAACAGGTTCCGGTAATATGATTCCTCTCTTCTTTTTGGAGAAATTGGAGCTTTATTCCAACCTGGCTATTCCTTCCTGGTCTCCATATTTCCTCCCTCCCTCATTCTCCGAGTGAAACCTTTTTTCTAGTAGAAAGACCTAGAAAATTATTTCAAGGGCAAGAATTTGGCAACTGTCCCTGAAAACAAAGCCACATGCTTTGCAGGGGTTTTATGATGTTCCTGAGAGTAGCCACCTGTTCCTTCCCACCCACCTCCGGGCACCTGGCCACAGGGCTAATGAGCCGTGAGACAGGACTAGTCGCCAGCCTGCACTGCAGAGGCTCTGGGCTTTTCAGGGGCCTCCTCCGAGCCACAGTCCCCATGCACCCCATCTGCTTCCTGCCAGCCTGTCGGCAGTCACTGTTCCAAGGCCAATAGCCAGAAGCAGTGCTGAGTTGTGGACACCTCCCAGGCTCTGTTTACAAACTTTTATATCCAAACAACATATTTACCCACCTGGAAGAGAGAAAACTCAGATTGCCCAAGGTTATGAATAAGAACCTCATCTCCACCAAAGGCAAAGAAGTGCAACACCAGCTCTGAAGAATCCTTGAGATCCCACCAAACAAAGACTAGTGATGAGAGGCCAGGAAGGAGGCAGGTGGGAGTCATAGCCCTTCCTATCGTGCAGTCTCCTAAACTCACGATCCCGGAAACTGTCCGCTCCGTGACTCAATGCTTTTTGTCCGTGTGGCTACTAAACCGATAAAGAGATAGCCCTTCTGTATCACCCACCTCGGTGGGTGGATACGAGGCAGTGACATGGAAGCCAGAGGCCAAACGCTTGGAGCTAGACAGACCGGGGATGGCTTCCAGCTCCCCATTTTCTGGCTGTGAGTCGGAGCCCATTATTTAGCCTCTCTGGTTTGGCTCTCTGCATCTGAAGACGTAGAAATACTAACAGCACCCATCTCATAGGGTTGTGAACAGGACATAATAACTCCTTAATTTTGTGAAGGGCCCGCAGTGGTGCCTGGCACACACATCATGATGCTTGGCAAATAAATAGATGCCAAGATTCCCTCCCTGGGGAACACTTATTATCAGGTGGTGCTTTTCGATGTGGGGTTCTCCATCCTCGGGCTTCATGGAGTCTTGCCCCAGGGAGTCTCGGGGTTAAATCCCACAGCTCTACCAGAACCGAGTGTTAAGCACCGACTGAGCCCAGCAAAGAGCAAGGGAAGTCAGAGTCCAGCTGAGACTCAGAAGGCACAGAAAGGAAAGTCTGCCATCAAAGATGCTGTCCTGAACGGCCAGACTTGTATGTACAGAGTGGAAGATTCAGATGGTGGGGAAGGGGCAGTTTGCAGCCCCTTCCCCACATCCCAGAAGAGTGTGCCTTCTAAGGGGAGATCAGCTTTAAGAAACTGTATTATTCACCTCTTCCAAACACCTGCTGGGACAGAGTCTGCACCAAATCTGTCAGCCCCTGGGTCACAATGGGCAGGAGCTGGAGATCCCCCCAGGAAAGGCTGTAGGGAAGAAAGGTGGACACTTAAACTTGCATCCCCACCCGACCTGAGCCTGTCACCCTGGGGCCATTGGACCTCTGCTACCTGGGCATGTAGCGGTGAGATGTACAGGGCCCCGTGCTCAGAGGGGACCCACAGATGGGGTTTAATGCTCTGAAATCATGGTCTTGAACTTACTAATTTTATCCTTGACCTTGTGGTTTGTAGGTGAAGTTCCATGGGGATGATGGAGCATGTGTCAGGGGCTTAAAGCCTCACATGGGGTCACAGCTGCCCCCTTCCCTGTCACCTGGTGTCCCAGGGGCACCCAGATCCCCTTCTCTGCCCCTATTGAGAGACCACGGACACCCTCTGCCCCCAGTGGGGCCTGGTCCAGGGGACTTAGAGCATCGCCCTCAACACACACGCACACACACACACACACACACAGAGTCCCAGGGCAGGGCTCCCAGGCATGTTGGAGGGGGGGATTGTGCTCCCAGTGAGGTCTGCACAGATCTCCCCACCTCCTATCCAAAGGAGTATACTAATTAAATTGCAAAAAAAAAAAAAAAAAAAAACAAAGAAAAACAAAACAAAACCAAAAAACCAGGTTGAGAGAGAGATCATAGAAAAAAGGGCAAAGCTTTTTTCTGCTTTTGGAATGAGGAGTCCTGCACTGTTATTTTGCACTGGGGCTCCCCAAATGACATAGCAGCCCTGCATCTGGACCTCCCTCCCTCTGATGTGTACAACTCACCTCAGCTGGAGATGCTAGCCAGGTGGACACGGTCAAGTTCCTGCATTTTAGAGTTTTGTGTGTTACAAAGCAGAGGGCAAGCTGTCCTGTCATCCAGAGGCCACGTGGAGTGTTGAGCGAGGGCTTTGTAGTCCTGGGGGCTTGTCACTTGCCCCAAGCCTGACTTTCTTGCCTGTGAAGATTATAGGCAGTATGATTTTCAAGATCGTTCCGTCTCTAAAAATAACTTATGGTTCTGGGTGCATGATAAGGCCCATTTCCTGTGAAATGGCTCATTTTTTGTGAAAATCCAGAGCAGTAGATAATACAGGATCCTCCAGTATCCTGGCAACAAAGATTTTTTGTTTTTTATAATTACTGGTGGTGGAAAAACAACAGAAGGGGACCTGTGGTTGAAGTGCCCTTCCATGATCCAGATTGATTGAGAAATTTCGCAGCAGCTCAGACCTGGGCTTGGTGGATGGTGGAGGAGAGGTTAGTAAGGACTCCTTCTGCCGCTGGGCAAGGTAGAATAGGAAGGTGAGGTATAACTTGGAAATATAAGAATTACTGAAATCCTCTCTGTGACAATGTGCTGCGATTTTTGCTCTCTTTTAAAAATTTGATTATTGGGGGCTCTGGCTCTGACTTTTGGTCTCGGGGTTGTAAGTTTGAGCCCCACGTTGGGTGTAGAGATGACCTAAAAATAAAATCTTTTAAGCATAAATAAAAAAATAAAAATTTTGGGAATATTGGGAAGTGTTGTTCTCCAAAAGACCACGGAAATACATCTAGAAAGGGTAAAAGGAAGTTCCAGATTGGTGGCTGAAATGTCCCCTTCCAGATCAGCGCATAAGTCCGCAGTCACCCAGGAAAGAAAGTCCCCGCCCTTGTCCACGTCCCAGGTGTAAAAATGCCCACCACAGAGTCCTTTGGAACATTGCACTCCGACTGCGTCCATGCAAAACCTTTCCTGGGCTGCAGATGAGCAACTCAGCCCGTCCAAACTGATATGGGGAATGTGAGCCACATCTCTGGTCTGAGACCTTTTCCTCTACCCAAACTGGTGGCAGACAATTTTCCCCCATACGAAGGAAACTCGTATTCAAAATTCCCGGGTTACTTTTATTTCTCCTTACAGTGGGACGTAGATTCTAAGAAAAATGTTATCACCTTATTAAGTGTGCCAATAAATTTTAAAATCCGGGAGGGAAAGTTAATACACACACGGGACCCATAATGTTTGCCTGTGAGATTTCTGGGTTATGATGAATACTTTCCTATCCTTGAGACTGTTTTTATTTGTATGGTTCGAAAGGGGTTTCGATGACATGGAGGATCGCGCCACTTCTATCTGGCATCTCCTGAGGAATTACCCTTCGTGGTGAGAGTGTCGTCGATCTTTGCCTCCTTATGTGCCAGAGACCAGTGTTCTAAAACAGCTCCCTGGGCCCCCGTGAGCAAAATCATCTTTTAGGATAGAGCATGGCTGGGATTTCAGAAATCCCGTTCCTTCAGAGTGTCAGGCTGGCCCAGGAAAAGGGCCAGACAGCTGTGGAGAAAGAATATAAGGGGGAGATAATCATCAGGAAAATTAACAAAAGGCCTCAAAGATTGTGTCATAACAGCAGATGCTTAAAAACAGTTAAAATCACACATGCTGTTACTCCTTCTGGTTCAAACTCTTCCCTGAGCCAGTGAAATTAGCAACAAAGGAATTTGCTCCTTTCCTCTGAACAAAGCTGGGCAGCAGGTCCAAGATGCCTTGAAAGAAAGCGAAAAGACAGAGGCTTCCCCTTCAGCTCTCAGAAAGCTGTAATTTCAGGGCAGGTGCAGCCATCTGGGGCAAATATTTGATGGAAAGCAACAAGTAACTCCCTTCTCTTCAAAGATGAGATTGGTAAAGACCCCGAGGGTTGCTTAGCTAGGATGGAGCCGGTTCCAGAGCCAAAACTTCTCCCTCTACTCACACATTCTGGAAAAATAACTAAACCTGCTGGTACGTGAGTTTTTCCCAAATGCAAAATCAGAAGAAAAAATATCTTAACCCATTTTGCAGAATTATTGCAAGGGAAACACAACCACCAGTAACATTTGAGAAGGACTTGACTTGTAGGTAATTGTTATATAAATGCTTAACATTGCCAGGCTCGGGGTGGGGGGGTGGGGAGCCTGCCTGGTGTAAAGTTGCAGCCTCTAGGCCGATTCACCTGTATGGAATCTCTTCCGGCGTTAATAAATGTCCGGCGTTAGTAAATGTCCCATTTGGGGGCCTTGTTGACATAACAGTATATGGAAAGCAGAATGCGCGTCATGCCAGAGGTTGAACTTTCAATTGGGCAGCCGGTACTTCTGAGGGCTCTCTTGGCCCATCAGAGAAGTTCTTTTTATTTTATTACACACAGTTTCCTCCTTCCCTTGATCATGAATCAGAACCTTTTCCAGCTAGAAGGAGTTTTAGGGACATTCTAGTCGTTTCTCATCTTAGCCAACCACAGGTCCCGGAGCTGAGCGGTGGTACCAAGCTTTCTGACTCAGAGCATTGTTCAGAGGGATCACTTAGCTCAACTCAGCTACAGCCCAGGGCATCAGCTGTGCGCACTCTCCCCACCACAGGCCAAACGCAAGAGCATTCTTCCTTGGACTCGGCTGCAATGT